GGGGGAGGAGACGGCTCCCTGGGCGGTGCCGCCTTCTCCTCAGAGAGCCGGAGGCCTTGATCCGGCGCTGGGGGTCAGGAAGCACCACCAGGGGTGGCCAGGCTGGGTCAAAAGCAGTCTATTATTTTTTTTTTCTTTTCCCTTGTGAATCCAGAGTAATGCCAAAACCTGAGGAGAAAAGGTGATTTTAGCAGTGGCCTGCACCATTTTCACCCTTGCCACGGTCCCCTGACAGCCACAGGAGCGGTGGTCCGAGGGCAATAACCGCCATCCCTGGTTTCGACAGGCTTTGGCTTTGAATGCTGTCAGTCTTCCAGCCCCAAGGACTGATGGCCGAGATGTGTTTTAAGGGGAGAAATGAGGGTTCCTCTTGTTCAATGCGTTCTAAACCGATACTTCGTATTTATTGCACACTTTTGCACATACATAACCATACCAGTGGTTCCAGTCATTAAAGGTGGGCGTGCTGGATCTTTCCCCTCTGTAAAAGCTGCGTTTTGAGGAGTACGCTGTCGAATCTTTACTAATGAGAGCTCTCCTTCTCAAAAGGAGAGAAAAATATTTCTCAGTACTGCAAAGTGTGACAAATTGAACCTGGCACATATAACTGGTTCACTAGCTGCCCTTCTGCCAGCCTCTCCATATGGCCTCCTTGACACACACTTGCAAATTGTCTCTTTGAACCTGTGTATCTATATATATATGAGTCAAAGTTTTATGTGTTTTCCATTTTCAACAAGGTATGGGTAGAATACACTACTGCTGGAAATTATCTTTTCCAGTATGATTTACTGTATATTTTATCTGTAGTAAAATAACGACCACAGGTACTTTCCATTTATTGCATATATTGTTATGAGGACCATAAAGCATGCAATGTGGAGCATCAGGATACTTCTGGTATTAAATGCATATTCACACGAAACTGCATTTTTATAAATTAATTTATGTTTTAAATTTGACCCTGGATCATACATATATACACACAAAGAGCGAACACACTCGCTTCCTTGCAGAAATAGGAATGACCCACCAGCCATCTTGTGAAAGACTGGGAGCCTGAAGCCAGAGGAGATCAAGCAACACAAACTCCCCCGCTCGGTGAAAGGGTGGGAAGCAGCAAATTCAATTCTCCCCTCACCTTCATGGCACTGTCGTCCAGGTCTCAGTCAACCCCTCCTCGGCACCTTTCTTTATTTCACCTCTTGGGACTCTCTCCATTTCACCTCTTGTTCAGTTCCCTCTTTCTCCATTTCTGCACAGCCTCCCACACTCATCTCCAGTGACATCATGTCCCAGCTGATTACCCAGCTGCATTTACCCTTGCACATTCTTTATCCTCATCTTCACATCTGACGGAAGCCTTCGTTAGTTGAAGAAATGGTTCACAGACCTAGGCTTGCATCAAGTCTTACTGCCTTTCTGATTTTTTTTGTTACCGCATCTTCTTTTTCTGACTATCATGGGTATTTTTTCCCCGCACAAACTTTTCAGCCTTCCCATAGTATTCTTCACCATGCTTTATTATTTGCTTTTGGCCTTCCCTCTCTGCTTTCTCTTTTCCTTCTTTCATGCCTCTGATTGCTGATGCTTTTTGTATTTCTTTCCTCTTTGCCCCTGACCCTTCATTTTCTGTCACTACCAAACCCCAGACATGATTCAATCTCAGCATTGGCTTTCTTTGCTCCGCTTCTGCTTTTGCGTTGTTGAGTGCTTCTGGAGGAAAGCTGGGGACCTGGCTGATTTCTGTGGCAAATCTGTTTTCCTAACATGCAACTCTAATTTATATCCCATTTTTCTCAACACATGCTAACCTATGCATAAAGCCTGCTGTCCTCACTCTCTGCACAGAATTCAAATAATTTCCTTTGGGAAACATTTTTTCACCTCATCTCTTCCACCTCCTTTGCTTGCCTTCCCCTTCTGCCAGTGCCCTGACGTTCTACCTCTTCCAGACATTTCTGTTCTCCTCTCTGCGCTAAATGAACGTATTCCCCTTCACATCACACTGTCCCCCTTTCACATATGTTTACTTTTCCTTCCTTCCTTCTAACCTTTTAGTCTAATTATTGCTCTTGCAGTGCAGTAATTCTCTAATCTCTCCTGTGTGGAGGAGGAAGCACCTACTTCTCGATGCAGTTTTCTTCAGATTGTTGTCCTGTATTCTTTTTCCCTTTCATGTGCAGACTACACGAACACGGTGTTCACAACCCGTGTCCGGGGCTCCTCTGTTAGACGCGCTGCAGTCTGCTGGCAGATCTCTGTGCTCAGTTGTCACCACTGTCACTGAAGCGCCTAAAGAATTCCTCCTCCCTAAATCAAATCCCGCTTAATCTGTCAACCTCTTTCAACAATAGTCTTCTTGACATCTTGTCTTTGCCTGGTCCAATGACTTCTCTAACCATTCTTTCAGCCTGTGTGTCAGCAGATCCGCTACAGGTTCTCCATCCTTGTTTTCTGAGGGGTGCCACAGCAACTTCACCTTTTCCCCCTTTTTTTTTGCTGTGCCTCACAGAATCACAGAATGGTCAGGGTTGGAAGGGACCTCTGGAGATCATCTACTCCAACCCCCCTGCCAGAGCACGGTCACCTACAGCAGGTTGCACAGACGGTGTCTAGGCAGGTTTTGAGTGTCTCCAGCGTGGGAGACTCCACAACCTCTCTGGGCAGCCTGTTCCAGTGCTCTGCCACCCTCAAAGTAAAGAAGTTCCTCCTTGTGTTAAGATGAAACTTCCTATATTCAAGTTTGTGCCCATTACCTCTTGTCCTGTCACTGGGCACCACTGAAAAAAGACTGTTCCCATCCCCCTGGCACCCTCCCTTTAAGTATTTATAAGCATTAATAAGATCCCCCCTCAGTCTTCTTTCCTCTAGACTAAAAATACCCAAGTGCCTCAGCCTTTCTCATCACTGGATAATCTTATTCCAATAAAATGACTGCCTCTCAGCCCTTAATTCAGATTTGCCTCCTCTCCAAATAAAGCCCCCCTTAGCTGCCCAGCCACATACCGAGTTCAACCTCAATCCCAGTCTCTCCAAGCTCCTCCCTCGTGTGCTGGACACCCATAACTCTGCCAGTCCCTCTGCTGGGATATCCACCTTTGATTCTCGTCTCCCTCCAGTCCCTCCCACGGTGGCTGCCTTGAAAATCTACCAGGGCCCAGACCCTTCCGCATAACCTCTGGCTACGAGCACCCACTGTCCTGGTTTGCCACCAGCACCCCTGCACACAGGCTTCGCTTGCTCCCCACAGGCACAAATCCAGTCC